TGCTTGGAGACTGGGCATGGTTGTGCATGCCTATAATCCTAGTACTTGAGAGGCTGAAAACAAGGGGATCACTGCAAGTCTAATCTATGTAGTGAGACCCTAGAAGAGGAAGAGGAAGAAGAAGAAGAGAAGGAGGAGGAGGAGGGAAAGGGGGAGGAGGAAGAGGAAGAGGAGGAGGAAGAAGAGAAAAAGACCTTTGGGTTGAAGAATACCCCCAGGCCCTCAGTATTCCCCTTCAGAGACTAGCTCAAAGTGCCATCTCTGGTTTCTGCAGGTCACAAGAGAAATAAGTTGCTTTGGAAGGGAAGTCACTCCAGGATTATAGTGGCGTTCCTGTGGGGCTGGAGCAATGTGTGTCCTGTGGAGGGACTATGTGAGAAAGGCTGCCTGAAACAACTTCAGGCCCTATCCTATATGTGGGTCCTTGCAGCCTGCTGGGGTCCCACTGTGAATAGCAGGTGCCAGCTTCTCTTGCTTCCTTCAGACACTCAGCCAAAAAACAAAACAAAGCAGGATTGAGCATGCAACTCTGTGCCCAAAGTGCTCTTCGCTACTGGCCAGCTTCCTTTGGGTTGTCTCTTGGCACTGTTTTGGCACTCTGGACTGACATGGCGGTTCCTTTGTGGTGGTGGAGGACATAACATTTTTAGATAGTCGCAGGACAGTGGTTCTTTCCCATGCTTAGAGACAAAGGTAAGGTAGCCAAGTCAGATCTGCAGGTTCTCTGAGGGGAAGGAAACTGAAGAAAGATAGTAGCTGGCATCCAGGACCTACTGCACACTGCAGCTGACTGACTTTCCTCTCTTTTCCCCTCTCTTCCCTTTCCTTCTGTAAACTTGCCTTGGGATGGAAGATGCAGCTGGGGCATCCCTGCCTTTTGGAACATTATGCAGCAGAGTGGGGTGCAAGCGCTTATTCTACTGAGCCATCTTCCCAGCTCCATTTTTATAGAGATGAGATGATTGACCTTATGCTGACATAGGACAGCCTCTCAAGGAAGGAACTTGGGGCCTTTCTGGATGAGTGGGATTGCCAGGTAAAGAGGTTGGTTGGAGAACTGGGAAGACAGTAAGCAGTAGGCCCTTTGGCAGGGTTATTGGGAGAGGTAGAGCCACTGAAATGTGCCAGTATGTGGGTCCTAGTGCTGGGTGCTTTGGGTTGTGGGCTGGCAACAGTCTAGTTGCTCTCAGTGGGAAGTACTAAAGGATGAAAGCTGGCTCCTAGTTGTGGCCTTATTTGACAGAGCGTTCCACTGAGACCTGCGAGTATGTGGGAAGCAGGTATGTGTGGTGGGTGTGCTTGCCTCTTGGGTGCTGACTGTCCCCTTCCCTGTCTTTATGGCCCTAAAGCTGCATAACAGGGATGCAGGATTCCTTCTGTCTAGCTGTAGACACCAGGTCAGACCTCCATGACTGTCTCTAGGACAACAGTGGTGAGCTCTCAGAGATAAACAGCCTCCTGTCGCACATATACCATAGGTTCATCACCACTTCTCTAGGATATCCTCCAGGTCCTCCACCTCATGCCCTGTTGTGTTGTGGGCCTCCTGAGCCCCTTGGCTTACCTGGCCCTCTCCACTTCTTCCTGCAAGTCAGTGAATCCAGTCGTTGACTTTGTAACCTCTGTCACCCTGTGTTGGAATGAAGTTTCCCTCATCAGATTGGGGCAGAGTCACTTGGGCTAAGGAGGATTCAGCTCAGATCATTGTTTGTGGGCAGAGAACCCATGAATACTTTTATCTTTCTTCCCCATTGCTTGACATGATCTTGGTAAATAATTTTTAAGAACAGTTTTATGGAGAGAAAATGCATACCATATAAGTGACCCATTTAAAGTATTACGAAAGAGTGATTTTTAAATATATTCCCAAAGAGGTACAGCCAACTACACAGTTGTTTTTAGGAGCACTTCATAATCTCCAATAGAAACTCTGCACCCCTAACTATCACTCCCAGGGCCTTCAACCCAAGGCAACCACTATGCTACTTGTGTCTCTCTGTGTCTTAGTCAGTGCTTTTGATCAGTGGATCTCCTTCCCAGCCAGCTCTTCTTCCCAGAGTCCTTACTTATTGCCCTACTCTTCATTCACTTAGGCTGTCACTCATATCCCTTTATTGTGATGTGTATCAGGGTTTGTGATTGGTGGTGCTGATATGTACCTAGTGTGCAGCATTCAGGACTTTGCTGTATATACACTAGGCCTGAGCAGGCATTTGTTCAACAGTGAATATCAATGCCAGAAAGGACATAGCTGGGTTGAGAGTGTAGCCTGGATTCTGAGGGAACTTGGAAATAAGACTTTGGGTTTTTTGTTTGTTTGTTTGTTTGGAGACAGGGTCTTGTTATGTATTCCAGGCTGGGCTTGAATTCACAGCAGTCTTCTGGCTCAGCCTCCTGAATGAGGAGATTATAAGCATGCACCACCACACCCAACTACTGAGGAAACTTGGGTTAGTCTTTTAGCTCCCTACTTTCCTATAACTCCCATTTGGTACCAGGTATATGCAAGCTGATGATTTGATGTCACTCCAAACCCTTGCAGCAGAAACCAGGAAAGTGGTACATTGTCTGACCAGGTAGAGATGAAGAGATGCTTTCTAGTCTATCCTGTGGATTTTGCAGGTAGGCCTGTGGGCTAGTTGAAGAGCTACACAGGATCAGCGAGTCTGGTTACACACAAGGAGTTAGTTATATGGCTGACTTCAACTTTTTCCAGGCCATAAGTGGGCTTCTACAGGGTCACTTAGGTGCAAGTAAAGAGTAAATAGGCTTACCCTCTTGGGGATTAGCTGGGCACTACTGGTGTTCTCAGAAAAAACGGATCTCTACTCTTTGCCCCTGCCTTCCCAGGTGGGGTTTCATTCTATGAACCATTGAGCCCACCTGGGCCCTGTCTGCCTAATCCCTGGCTCTCTATAGTACCTACTCCTCTATTTCAGCAAAGCAAGGCTCGTTCTTTCTACAGCCCACCCCAACCTCCTTGGACATAAAGGATTCTTTGACAAAAAGTATAGAATAATGCCTAACATTTATTGCTGTGTTATATGCCAGACAATGTGCACAGGCCCACTTACCCAGTCTACTAATAGAAAAAGTTGGTGCTCTCAGGAGCCTCAATGGTTCTGCAGAAAGAAAAGGGTTGTTGGTGTACCCTGGATGCTGTGTGATTTCCAGCAAGAAATCTACTGTCTTTGAGTCACAGGTAATAGCTGAATGAGGTGTTGTGATGGGACCTCCCAGTTTAGAGAGTTAAATAAATAGCATATTAAGAGGACCTCTAAGGCTTAACAGAGAAGTAGGGGTAAATATCAGTCAAGTCTTCTAGTTTTCTTTTGTGTTGCTGCCCTCCAAAGGGTGGTCAATATATTGGTCTGGTTGTACCTTTTTCACCCTCTTTTGTCCAGGTTATGTGTATAGGAAGGGAGATGGACCTCTTAGTGTCTGTCCTGTTTTTCTCACTCAGTTGAGCTCTCACTGCCAGGGCCTGAGGAAATAGGGAATTTGTGAACAGTAAAAGCATAAAAATGCTCAACATTTATTGACATTTTCCTATGCCAGACACTGTGCTCAGTGATGATTTTTCCACATATAGTTTCTATGGAGATATAATTCACACACCATAAATTTCATCCCTTTAATATACATAGTTCAGTGTTTTTTTTTTTTGATTGTTCACATTGTTGTGTAACTTCTTCACTGTCCCATTCGAGAATCTTTTTTTTTTTTTTTTTTTTTTTTGGTGGTACCAGGGATCTAACTCAAGACCTTGTGCTTGCTAGGCAAGCACTTATTCTACTGAGCTCTCTCTCCAGCCCCCCTAGAGAGTATTTTTATCACCCTCCCCCAAAGAAGTCCCATACTTGTTAGTAGAAACTTCACCCTTACCTTCTGCTTCTGGGAATCACAGTGTGCTCTCTGGTGTATGGGTTTGCGTCTTCTAGATCTTTTAGGCAACTGAAATTCTGTAGTATGAGAGCTTTTTCCCCTGGCTTCTTCAATTAGCTAATGCTTTCAAGGTTCATGTATGTTATGGAATGCATCTGTACCTCATTCCTTTTTATGGTTAATGTTCTGTTGAATGGATAGACCATGTCTTGTTCATCCATTTAGCTGTTGATGGACATTTGGGTTGTTACCATTTTTTAGTGGTTGTGAACATTGCTGTTAAGAATACTTGGGCCTGGGGATGTAGCTCAGCAAGCAACACAGAGCCTGCTTGGCCAAGTGCAAGGCCCTGGGTTCATTTCTGGGGGTGCGTGCACGCACACACATATACACACACACGCACCACCTTTGAGTACAAGTTTGTATTTGAGCTCCTATTTTCTTAGATTAATACACCTAAAAGTGGAATTGTGAAGGCTAATGGTAATTCTGCATTTAAAGAAATGTTCAGCTATTTTCCAAAGTGACTACATTATTTTATCTTCCTATGCAGGGTTTTATCTGCATTTCATTTTATCAGTCCTTGTATACATTTCATGTGATATAGTTGAAACTGTTAACACCCTCACCTTTCAAATGAAAGAGTTAAAACTTAGAGTATTTCTTGCCTTTGGCTGCTGGTAACTGATGTGTCTTTGGCAGCTGTAGGCTTTGAACAGTGATGTTTCTCCTGTCCCTTGACTGCATTTTTAGGATAAGAGCTTTGGGTTGTGTCTTTCACATTATGTTCCTGCTGCCTAGCAAATGCCAGCACTCATATACTCACTGGCTAAAATGTCGTCCCTTCCCCCACCCCGATCTTGGTGTGTTAATCAGGAATATAAGGGAAGTAGCCTATGTCTTTAGGCATTTCATCAAGTAGGGTTCAGACTCCTTGCAGGGTTTTATGTTCCTTTCCACACCAGATGCTGCCCTCCACCCCCACCCCTGCATTGCACTCCCAGGTATCTGCCTTGGAGACTAGGAAGCAGGTGACTTCTTTCTTGTCAACTTGACTTGTTCTCTCTTATGTTGGTCAAGACCATTAATGACCTCTTTTTACTTTTGTCCTCTAGGCCAAACCTATTTATGGTGGCTGGCTGCTCCTGGCTCCAGATGGGACTGACTTTGACAACCCAGTACACCGATCTCGGGTAAGAACACTGGAGTGAATCCTCAGGGCAAGAGGAACCAGAGAGAGAAAGGGCCCACCTGAGAGCACATTGACAGACTGGGTGAGGGAGACAGAAGATGAACAATGAAACCCTAAGTCAGGAATCAGTAGGGAACTCCATACCCAATTTGTCACATTCACAGGTCTCACCAAAAAGCGTCAATTATTCATAGTTGTGCGAAGTCTTCCCTTCAAAATGAGATGCTCTTCTGTGGATGTTGCCTATTTGTGGGTCACCTTGACTTTGAAACCAGTTAAATGGAAAAGGCAAAAGAGCAGTTGAGTTCACATTCACATTATGCTAATTTTGGCTTCTAGTTCCTTCAGTGCCAAGGCCCTGCTTCATACAGTTCTCCCAAGCCAAGGGTTCACACTTGAGCACTAATGAAAGGATGGGTGGGGTGGGAGCCTTGCTGAGATGCAGCCACCTCTCCCAGCACTGCCAAAGGCAGGCAGATACCTAACAGCTATCTAATACCTAACAGCTATTCCTTGTAGGGTTGGTTTGGTGATCATGAATTTCTTCAGTTATTCTTTATCATGGAAATATCTCATCTCTTCATTAAATCTGATAGATAATTTTGCAGAGTATATCTATGTGGATTAGAAGTTGTTTCCTTTCACAACCTGAAATACGGGAGTCCTGGTGAGTCCTGCCCTGTACCCATCTTAGTGGGAGCTCTGCTGAGCTGCCCCTTCCCCCTGGTCATGGGAGGCTTCGTGAACCCTACCCTGCCCTCCCACCATTACAAGAGTCTTGCAGAGCTTCAGCCCACCCTCATCATCTTCCGAGCTTTCCTGAGCTGTCACACACACACACACACACACACACACACACCCCTATGGCAGAAGCCACACTGAATCCCACACAATGAGAGTTTTGGTGAGTCTACCCTGTTCTTCCACTGTTGTGGGAGACTTGCTGACCTACACCCCACCTTTCTACCATCACTGCTAGGTAAACATCGGAAGCTTGAGAAATGTCAAAGCAAAGGAGCGAAAGGCAGTCTCAGACCTTTAGCCTACCCAAAACAAATCCGGGAGATAAGATCATAGAAAAACTTGGAAGTCACACACATTGCAATTTCTGAAATGATAGTACCTGAAGTAAAGAAAACACTCTATTAGGATATAAAAGAAATCAGATCAGAAATAATCTCTTATGTAAAAAAAGAAATGACAAGAATCATGAAAAAATTGCTCAGTACAATTTTTCAAGAAAAATTCTTACAGTGATGTGAAGAAAAACAATATAAGGCTAATAGGTGTCAACACAGATGACATGAAAAGATTTTGCAGAAGTAGTAGCAGAAAATTTCTGAAGCATGGGGAAAGAATCTGACATACAATTAAGTGTAGTGTATAGAACTCCAGTGAGCCATAATCAAAATAAATCTACATCTAGACATGTAACAATATAGATCTCAAGAATTCAGCTAAAGAACAGAATAATAAAAGCTGTTAGAGAAAAGAAATAGATCACCTGAAACGGAAAGCCCATCAGAATCATGGCAGATTTCTCAACACAGATCATCAAATCAAGAACTTGGAGTAAAGTATTTCAGGTCATGAAAGGAAACAACTTCTAGCCCACATAGATATACCCTGCAAAATTATCTATCAGATTTAATGAAGAGATAAGATATTTCCATGACACAGAATAACTGAAGATATTCATGATCACCAAACCAACCCTACAAGGAATACTGACAGATATTCTAGAAAGAGACAGAAATGACCACAACTTCAAGAACAACAACAGAAAGGAACCAACAAGCAGAGTGAGCAATTAAGTACAGGGGAAAAGTAGGCAACTTACAGGAGGAAAATAACATGACAAAGATAAGCCAGTGCATATGAATTATAATCATCAATATAAATGGCCTCAGTGCACCAGTCAAAAGAAGCAGACTGGCAGAATGGATCAAGAAACAAAAGCCAACAATATGCTGTATACAAGAAACACATTTGACTCAAAAGGAAATTCATAGAATGAAGGTTAAAGGATGGAAAACAATACTCCTTATGACAGGAACCCAGAAAAAAGCAAGGATAGCTATTTTGGTTCCTGACAATATCTATGTCAAGAATGATTAAAAGAGAGAAAGAAGGGTACTACGTACTTGTTAGAGAAAAACTGCAAGAGGAAAAGGGAACAATCATAAATATATATGTGCCCAATGTATGAGCACCCAACTACATAAGACAAATTTTAATAGACATGAAAAAATCAAATGAGCAATAACACAGTTATAATGGGGGACTTTAACACCTTACTATCACAGAGAGATAGATGAACTAAGATAAAAATTAGCAAAGAAATAACAGAACTAAACCAAACTTGTGAA